AAAAAACCCTCATATCCCCAACACTCAGCCTAAGAAAGGGAATTGTTTATCTCTTTAACCCATGGCTCTCAATCTCTCTCTCTCTGTTTTATTTTACTACCCATGTTGCTATTAGATGCTTAATTCAATTGATTTTGACTTGGTGCCATGTGACAGAACTGTCCCACGGGTTTACAAGGCTGCAGTCTTTGGGGAGGTGTCTTGGTGGCAAGGGGGGCTAACCGTGGGGCTGATACCTGTCAGTTCAGCAGTTTGAAAGCACCAGCCCCACAGAGGGAGAAAGAGGAGACTTCCTATTTTCATAAAGAGCTACAGTCGTGGCAGCCCGTAGGGGCAGTTTACTCCGCCCTCCATGGTTGCTGTGAAATGGAACAGACTCAATGGCCATGAGCTTCCTTCTTTGGAATCTGTGTGGAATCAGATTACCAAGACTTTCTCTTGAAGAGCTTCTAAGTGGGTTCAGACTACCAACCTTTCCCTTATCAGGAGAGCATTTGACCATCACAGCTCCATTTTCTACCCATAACCACTGCCAATCATCAGTGCTACAGTGAGTGCTCATGCCCAGGAGGGCTTACCCAGGAGTTTTCTGGGGCACACACCTACAAGTATGATTGGTGGGTCAGAGAGTGCCCCCTCGTTTGACTTGACTAGATGGTGTGAAAGTGTTCCCAGACCTGTTGAACAAATGTGTGCTCCCAGGAGAACATAAGAACTCCCGTTGGCACCCCCCCTCAGCCACTCATGATATCGGCATGCTTTTTCAATGCTGACGATATGATGGGTGTGAAATGATTACTAAGGAAATGGGTCGCTATGTCAAGTTTATTATTTGGGCTTCCTCTTCTGTTAATTGCTATGCTGCTCATTGCCAGCTGTTTCAACTACGCTGTCCTATTTAAAAAAAAATGGTTTGTAGTCATTCATGAATTGTAGTCATTCTAGATCAATTGTCAAGTATGCATTTCAAACGTAGTCTCCCTGCCAGTGACTTGATTGTAGTATCATTGGGTGAAATAAGGAGCCCTCGTGGTGTAGTGGTTAAGGGACTCAGTTGCTGACTGAAAGGCCTGGAGGTTTGAACCTTGAGCCTTGCAAACCCTATAGATTGCTA